ATACCCCGTGATGCTCCTCTTGAACACAGCTGATTGGGCCAGGGCTGGACACCTAATCTAAGGGCTGCCAGCTGATTGGCTGGCCAGAACCAATCAAACTGGAAACTTTGAACTGAGAAAACCCGAAGCCACAACCAGTTACATCTATCTCACCTGAGAAGTCATGCGAGTCAGGGCCATGCAGACAAGCTGCTGTCACGGGTAAGAAAACTGAAGGACGGCTGGTCTGCAGTTAGAAGAGCCCAGCTATCTTCAAATCCTTGTGGTACCCAAGAGAGTGACAGAGTCCACAGTAAACTGCTTTGGCTCACGCCAACTTCCTGGTTTCCAGTCCCAGCTCTGTGTTCTTCTATTAATGTCTTGAGCAAATTTCAGAGAACTTCTGTCCTCTGCTCACACTCAAGTGTGACTAAAGCACTAACTTAAAAAAAAAATTAAATTATTGATTTAATTTTATTTGCTACTATTATTATTATTATTATTTTAGTTTGACTAAACAGAGACAGAGACAGGGAGAGAAAGGGGAAGTAAGAAAGCAAGCCATCAGGTCTGGGACTCGAACTGCAGTTAACCATGTAGGAATCCAGCACTCTAACCACTCCACCACCTGCCGCTCCCTAAAGCACTAACTTTGGAGGTGAGTGTAGATTCTCAAACTCTCCCCAAGTTTCAGTTTTCTTTCTTTTCTTTTTTTTTCTTTTCTTTTCTTTCTTTCTATCTTTTTTTTTTTCGCTATAGGGCACGCACGCTCGCCAGACAGAGAGGGAGAGACAGAGAGACAGAAAGTGAGAAATCATCCCCCAGGGGGGATGGCCACGCCGCAACCCCTTCTCCTCCATTCTCCTCTCGGGATCTTGGGCACACACGCACACATGCCCGGTGTGAGTTTAAGCCACCGGGTCCAGGACTTGACCCATGGTTGACTACATGGGAGTCCAGCAACATAGCCATTACGCTAACTGCTGGTCCCCCAAGGTTCAGTTTTCTAAATGCCTGTAAACTAAGTGGCTGGCCTAGAGGAGCTCAAAACTCCTTGCTCCTAAGGAAGTATGTGAAGTCTTCAACAAGTTTATGGAAAATGCACATCATTAAAAAAAACAAAACTATATATAAATTTCAAAACTTTTTGTACCAACATAAACTCATACTTTAATTTCATTTTCCACGAACTTGTTGCAGTCCCCTTGGGTGAGAACTCCCAGCATATCACAGCTGGCTCACGGAAGGGAAGCTGAGGGAGGAAAAGTCCTGTGGCTCCTCTCCCCACATCCTCCCTAGCCTGTGGTCCTGAGAAGAAAGAAATCATCCTGGAAAGCTGGAGGCAGCTTCGCTCAGCACAGAAACCTGAGCGAGCAGGTCCCTGACATCACTGCTCTGTCAGACATGACACCAGACTACGCCTGCTGCAGGGTGAAGCCAATGCGGTCTTTGAGGCACAAGACTGTCCTACAAAGGAGGCCCCTTGGGCCCTGTCGCTCGTGTCAAGGGGAGGGGTTTCCAAAGGCAAGGTGACAAAAATGGCTGCTGCTTGCCCTGGCAAAGCGTGCTGGGCAGCAAAGTCACCAACATGGTCAGACCTTTCTGCTATGCGTGTTCC